AGAGTGATTCTCTTTTCATAAAGATGCTCCTGAAACCAGTGAGTCTGAGAGTTTAAGCCTCCTTTTGCACTTCTGGGCTGCTTGACAGACCCATTCACAAAGGGAGGTCATGCTGTGTTCAGGGGGAGGCTGATGTGGGGCAAACATGCTGCTCTCCTGCGTCCTTGCCAAAGAGATGTAATTCATGTTTTATGATTCAAAATAATATATGCAGATGCTTGAGATAAATCCTTTGGAATTGACAACAAGGATGTCTCATTGCTCCTGGTCTGAATGTGTTTAGGGAAAGGAGCGAGGCACTGGTAGTTCAGGCAGGGGATGATCATGCTAGAGATGATGGTATTTACTCTTCCTGAATAATTCCAAACGTACGCAGATCCAGAGAGGGGTTGAATATGAAATGAAACAAGTTGACCTCCTTCCAAAAGTTACTTCATCTGTTGAGCTGGGAGGATTATAAAATCCATTAGTATGACAAGAAACAGAACTAGATTGAGCCAAATGTGATTTCTTCATTTAACATATAGATTTATCATCAACAGGGCAGAGGAAAAAAAATGGTCTGAAATGCAGACGCTAAAGGACATTTTTAAATGCCTCAATTAATTGCTGCCTTTGAGTGAGCATCCAAATGATTTGGCTTTGTTATGAAAAAATGTCAATGGGAAATTAATTTCCAAGTCATGTGCATGAATATTGATGAAAGATGTAAATTCAATTCAATACGGACTGCTGTAATTGGGGCCATTAGGAGCTGAAGCTCTTCTCCATCATTTTAGGTAGCTGGTAGTAAGGAAACAACTGAATGTGAAGTGTGAATGCATGAGTAATGCCTGAAACCCACATTTGTGATGACCAAGCAGAGCTCTGCTCCAGCACTCCCCCAAAATCACCCATGTTTGGGGTGTAGATGAGAAGCAGCCACGGGCTGGAAGCCTGGCTGGCCACTGTCACCACTGGTTTGGGACTTCCCAGATAGGAAGATGCATGTTCTTCCGCTGTGGGTAACACGTACACGTCCGCACTCTGAGCTTTGTTGCCAGAATATGGCAAGACAGGGACGACCACTTGTATGTTGGCGAAGAGATGTGTTTGAGAGCTTCCTGGCATGCTGATAACGTGGCTCCTGTCTGGGAACATGTGAAGGGGCGTCAGGTTTTCTTGGGAGTGAGTTGGAATGGCACGGAAGGGCTTCCCTCATGGAGGTGACTCTGTAAGGTCTCCTGAGCAAGTTTGGGAGTATACATGCTCAGAGATGCTCAACAGGGAGAGAAGCTGCAGACAGGAGGCACATCTGAAGCTACTTCTTTGACCTCTGTTAGAGACAGGGGAATTAATACCTTTTATTAAACAGGAGAGGGACTGCTTTTCACACACAATCTTGATTTTCCTGCTGCTCGTTGGTTACTGGGGCTGTATAAAATATCATGTCTAACAATATCCAACAAAATGCTTTGAAGAGAATTTATGAAATATAGATGATGGTGTTTTTGCCTGACATGGCAAGGAAATACATTTTGTTGTGCTCATGTTTACACCTATATACTGCTGGAGTATCTCTGCAAGTATGTATTATTTTGGCACCTAATTTTCAAGGGCTGCCATCACACAGAGATGCCTGTTGCTGCTGCAAGATGAGACAGGAGGGTGAGGGGGAGTTGTTTGTGCTCTGTGTCAGGCTTACAGGGCAGGGGGACTGGGGACCCTGTGCCACCCCTTCTCAGCTTCCACTTCACATGCAGTTACTTCAGTGTATCTTAACTATTCTGGGAAATCAGACCCAAAATTATTACTTTTTTTTGCCCTGGAGCAGCTGGGAATTGCCTGTTGTGCCTCAAAATAGGGTTTTTATCCCTCTTACCTTATTGTTAACTCCAGTTTGCAGCTGCTTTCTGGCCTGCGTCCTTTCCAGGTTACGCTCCCTGGCACATTGGAAAAGCAGGAGCACCTTTGTACACAGCAGTACTATGTACTTTTGTACACAGCAGTAGCATTTCTTTCTCATGCCAGGAATGGCTTTTAACTCAATTAGTTGTATTTTGCCTTAAAAAAGAAATGCCATCAGCATACCGAATCCCTCTGTTTTAAAGGGTTCTCTGTGAAAGATGGAGGTACTGTCCTAGCTCTGTCCACCTGCAAGTGGTGATTGATCTAATCTGCTTTTCTGAAATGCTTTCATAGTTTTCTCTTTGGTATTTTGAATCTGGCATAATTATCAGGGGCATCAAAAGTGTATGTTCAAAACTCATGCTGTGAATCTGAGGCACAGAGAAATCAATGGATTATTATGATAATATAGTATTAAAGATCCATGGTTATATCTACATTTGGTTTAGGACTTCAACTCATTCTGCAGGCCAGGGCTCTCTCCTGGTCCAAGTACTCTTTCTGCCTGCATTGATGCACCTCCTGAGTCATGTAAGACACTCTCACTTTTGGTATGAGACTTGATTTGAGGCAATCTGTGACCCAGTTTCTTCTGTTGAGAGCAGCTGATCTATCAGGACAGTACAGAGATGCAAAAGCCAAGCTACGCCATGCAGTGGTTGGGATAATTGACTCTGGGCAGAGACTTTCCCTGGCAGAGCAGATTGAGGGGAGCATGTACTTTTTGCCATGTATCTTGCAGGCAGAAGAGACCCAGGTGTGAGCTGGAACCAAGGAGATGGTTTATGTAACAGAGGAGCAGAGAGGATTTCTTTCTTCGAGACAAATTAAATGCTTTGAATTGCTATGCTTTGAATTGCTATGATAAATTTAAAGGCTCAATGTAATTTTTTTCTAAATTTACTTCTAAGATTTCATTCACCTGAAAGAATGGATTTGCATAGCAATATCAAAACCTGGGAGTCATTAACTGTGTAATGGTTTGATTGTACAAAATTAATCTTACTCAACAAAAACCTGCAGTGCCAGCTTACATCTGGGCTGGCTTCCCCCCTGTTGAATCCTCTTGTAAGAGCAGGCTCCAGGTGTTCTGCCTCCTTACAGCAAGAAATGGCTACATTAGCTTTCAGGAAAGGTTTAATGGGTGTGCAACATGAAATACCAGTGTTGCAGTATATAGCTTTACTAGCTGTGCTGCTGGGATTGTTTTCTGAGCTATTTTGATCCTTAGCACCGATTGCGAAATGGAACAGAAATTATTTATTAGTCCTCAGGAGCCTTAAGACAGAATAATACTTAATCAGCTGGAAACACAGTCAATCTTCTTGTTACAGATGCTGCTGTGTTTAAGGAGGAAACAAATAAACTGATTTTGTAATTGGTAGCAAATGTTTTTAGAAGTCTTCTGGCGGGGGCAGGTGTGAGTCTCCCTGAAGGGTGGAGATGACTGTACAGCAGATCTCCAGGTTGTTCTGAATGAAACTTTAAATACTCATTTCACAAAGAAAGATGTGCTGTCCCCTAGCAGCAGTGGTTAATCCTTTCAGGTGTTCCCAGGACAGCAGAGCTACATCAGGTCCCAGTAGGACCATGTCTTTCCACCTGGGGAATCCCCAAAAATGGCTATGGAAAATATGAGAAATAAAATCTTGAGATGTGTTTTACTCTGATCAGTAAGATTTTATGAGAAAACTTTCCAAAGGAAAACGTTTGTAGTGGTAGTTTTTGCTTTAAAACCCAAGCAAACTAAGCAGTTTTGTTTTTCAGCAGTACAGTGTAATGAATATATGTCAAATATTTCAAGTTTTTAAGCTTAACAAGGACTTTTACATTTTCTTTTACCAGGTCATAGAAAGAAGTAGCTACGTAACTGTAATATTTCCTTTGGTAGCTAGATGAACAGCTACATCCATTATAATGTTTCCTTTGGTATTTAGACCAAAAGTGTCTTTGGAAAAACAGTCCTCTCTAGGGCCTGTTCAGCTTTGGCCCATGGTCTTTAGCCACTGGAAAGACAAAACCTGAAAATTATCTGACACAACCTTCATCCCGTGAACTGGCTTATAATGAAACCAGTCCCTGCTGTTCCTCCTCCTCAGGGAGTTATGGTTCAGAAGGAACAGATTTCTGTGGCCATTTTTAGGGCAGAAAGAGTTTCCTTGGGAGAAGACTTTGAGCAGTGTATGGGTTTCTGGCTGCCACCCAGAGCCCTTGGCCAAAGGCTGCTTGAAGCTCAAATCACCTGCAGCAGAGAGACCTCAGCAGAGAACAGAGATGAGGATTGTTCCCATTTCTATTAAAAAAAAGTGGGGGGAGGATGTAGTAAATAAAGAGGCAATAACAGTAGTACTCAAAAACCTAATTACTTTTGATATTTATAAAAAAGACCCGCATCATTCAAAAGAGCATATTTCAGCCAATTTTCCTGATTATGCCTCCAGACATGGAGAGTTTTGTTTGTATTGATATAATCCAGGAGTGGGAATGGCTCCAGAAATGCTATTTAAGTCTGCCTCCTATTTTGCAGAACATAATGCCCATTACAAAAGTTTTTGATATATTCATATTAATTTGCTCACAGATAAGAACCACCCACAAGCTGTTGGTAATCAGGAAAAGTAAGTGGATGGAAAAAAAAAGCCCAACCCCACACTTGGCCATTTAAGTAGCAATGCTGTCCTGGCAGGCTGAACACCATGTGGAAAACTCATGTTGCAAAATGCTGCTTCTGTGTTTCTTTCCTGCATTCTTTTCTTTTGTTGTTGTTTGATGCACCACAAGCTAATAGATTGAGCAGAGCTGTGATTCTGCAATAGCTTTGAAGCAGACTTCAACATTTAGAACATTAAAGATTATCTTCTGAAAACTAAGTGTTAGGTTGGTATTTCCCAACTCATCAGGCACATCTCCACTGTACAGCTGGTCCAGTGACTTGTGGAAAGATAATGTATGGTTTTCTGCTGTTATCTTTCTCCTAGTCAATTGCATAAAGCTGGGAAGAGCTGGGGTCTTAAGGAAGGTGATAGGTAAAACCATGTTGGGTATAAGCCTGCTGGTCAGGTTGCTCCTGGCTTGTCCAACAAACCCTTCTGAGCATCAACTGAATAAGGAGAATGTTGGATTGCCAAGGTCAGACTGGATATGTGGGGTGTCTCCAGCCTTCTGTCCTTTAGTCTGTGGTTAACTCATCTCTGTTCAATGTCTGATTCTGTCACTGGCAAAGCTAGAAGGGTTGCTGCTGAATCCCGGCTTTGGCCCTTTAGGTGCTGGGGGCAACCACTTTTGCATTTTTCCCACATTTCTGCATTTTCAGCCTTTCTGCATTTGATGATAAATAGCAACACTCCATCCCATTTGGGGAGATGTGTTTCAATTGCTGAGATGATCATGGACCGTATTTTAATCTTCCTGTCTCCACTACAGATACACAAATAACTTGCACCAGAGTTTGTTTTTTTTTTTTCAGGAATCAATCCAGTGAATAATTCAGGATTTTTGTTACAGTGACCTGTATCTCTGCATACAAACTTGATTTCCCTCCTGTGCCCCTCTTCCACACTCATCCCAATTGTATGTCCTGTGGTTTCTTGCAGTGTGTGCTGGGACTGAGAACAAGCTGAGCTCCCTCTCTGACCTGGAGCAGCAGTACCGGGCCCTGCGCAAGTACTATGAGAACTGTGAGGTAGTTATGGGCAACCTGGAGATCACCAGCATTGAGCACAACCGAGACCTCTCCTTCCTGCGGGTAAGAAATCTGAGTTTTTCCTTTCCTCCATCCTCTGTGTTTAGGAGAGTAGGTGCTGGGCTGGAGAAGGGCAGGTCTCTTTCCCACCAGCTCCACTGCAATATAAAGAGGATAATAAAAGGTCACAGGAGCAGTGTTACTGCTGTGACAGGTTCTCTGAGGATGTGACGTTTAGATGTATCCAGGACTGGGGGAAGAAAGCCATGTCACTGCACAGAAAGGGGACAGTGACTCCATCCATGTGTTGCCAGAAGGTACAGAGCAGGTGAGGTAGAGTTTAGCCAAGTCAAAGAATTGTGCAGATAAGCACTAGAAGCTTGGAAAAGCTGAATTCTAATAAAATGCAATATATGGGCTGATGGATGGATTAAACAAGGGAAGAACTCTGGACAATGTTTGTGGAGCATTTAAGAAAAAGAAAAGAGGGTTGCTGAATGAACACAGAACCCTCTTGGTGTACAAGACTAGAATTATGAGCCTAATTGAATCTCCAGCATCCAGAGGATGTCTGTGATAGTTGAAGGCTATCCTGCCACCATGGAGCCAGAGTTGTGTGCTCCCTTAGCCCTCCTTACTTCAAATTTTGAGTAAATATCAAGCTTTTGGCCTTTGGGTTTGTGGAAGAACGTATCAGTGTGGTTTGTGTTCCCTGTTAACATGGCAGCAATCCCAAGGAGAGAAAGGTGAATGCTGAATTTGAAGACTATAAACCCATCATTATTCGGTGTTCAAAATGGATTGTTTGAAGAAATATCCACTTAGAAGAGTGATTCAGCTGGGCAAGTGAGGGTGCTGCAGACGAGGTGGCTGCAGCATGGAAGAAACTGGTGGTATGAGACAGATAGAGGTTTCCACCACTCTGGTCATACAGTATTGCTTGTATTGTTATGTATTTCTGCAAAATGCTAATGTCACTTTTCAAGATGTGTGTCTGTATCTAACTGGCATGTTTGTAAGAAGCACGTAGGGGGGGTGGCAGGTTCAGATCCGGCAGCAGGAGTCAGCCCTGGCAGGTTGTGTTGGTTTGCTGGGTCTCGGGTGAACCTAGGGCTCAATTTCAGTTTGTAAAAATGTGAACTTTCCATTATGGGTTCTAGCAAAGGCAGACCAGATCCTCCAACAGTGTGTCTAGCTTTCCTTCATGTTACATTTCTTGGGGATTTCACAGGATTTCCATTTTACATGCTGACCTATATTTACTCAAAGTGTAAACCAGGCTGCTAGAAGATCTGCAAACATAATTCAGCTACCAGATCCTTCTGAAGTAAAGTTTGGGGTGCTAATTGCACTCAGGCTAACAGGTTGCCTGTTAATTTGAGTGTCAAATGCCTGAGAAGTAAATGCTATCTATACATTTCACAGTTGTGACAGGGGGGAAAACACATATGCCTGTGCTCTGGAAGAGATGTAGCCCTGGTGCAGCTGGACTAGCTGGTTTCTCACCATTAGGCAGCAGATATGTACGTCCTGTGTGGGCAGGGTCCCTGCACTGATTCAGGCATCCCTGAAGTTTCAGATGCCTCCTGAAACTGCTGAGTGAGCCTTTGTGCAAGGCTTGAATTCATCATGTATGATTCTCCTGCTTTTGCTTTCCTTCCTTCTTACAGTGCCTGCTGGTAGATAGGGAAAGCAAATTATTTGGAAATCAGGGCATTGACGTTCCTTGTGGAGAGCTGACATCAACAGAGTAAAATATTGGTGGAAGGTGGGCAGTGAATTCAGTAAATGAGAGGAGGAAAGGAGGGCCTTGAGTTGTAAATGAAGGTGGCTTGGTCACTTGTGCTTTTTTGATGACAGTTACTCTTGCTTTTTTTATTAGTTTTATTCCACCTCTTACCTGAGACTGTCCTCTCACAGCTGTCTCAGTAAAAAGCAGAACTTGAAACAAAAGCCAGCAAACTGGAAGTCTAGTTAATATGACAAATGACAGTCATTAAAATAGAACACCAAACAGAGAAGAACGTGTTATTGGTGAGTAAAATAAATAAATAACTGTTGGAACATTAATGCTGATAATTTGACATTCATTAGTTAGGCAGTGCTACTTGTTTTAGCAGTTTAAGAATTGTTTCAGTGGCCAAATGAAGGTGACAGATGGGAGATCACTAAAAGAATGGCTATTTGTCTCTCTCAGATTTAAATATGGTGAACTCCTCGTGTAAGATGATGCTTCTCAAGCCTGCTCCATTTTTTCATAGTCTCTATTGTAATGCCTTCTTTCTCCACCAAAGGAACTTCAGGTGAGCAGTTGATGTACTGGGTTACCTGTACATCCAGCTCATGAGTGCCATGGCTTTGTGTGCCCACCTGCCACTTAGCTCCCTCTCACTTCAGGACAGAAGTGAGGCATGATTATTATCATGCAATAATATAAGAATATTATAAATTAATTGAAGTGAAAAAAACCAGCATAATTTTATTTACCCTGCAGAGGAACATGAAAAGATCAGCATCCCATCTTTCATACTTATTTAGACATTTATTCCCTAAGTAAATTTGCTTTTATGTCTATGAGTTAGCTCTCTGGATGTCTGCTGGCTAAGACTAAAAAGGGCTGCCTGTCACCTGAATGAAGTGCTCAACCACTTCAACTTTCAGACCTGCCAGCCAAGAGCAAGACTTTGAGGTCAGGAGAAGCTTCATTCGAGTAAGAAGGGATTGCATACACTACTGTTTTTTTCCTATTGTTTAGGTACATGGGCAGAACAGAAGTAACACTCTGCTGGTTTATTTTGTCTATTTTATTTTTGTAGTGGAGTCTTGATATTGCTTGCCTGTGGGGTCCCAAAACAGGGGTGAACAGTTGTGATGTGCAGTTGTCCTCTGCACATACTACCTTCCAGCTCCATCAGCTCTGCTCCTGCTGCTCAGTGCTTCACTGCACTGTGGCTGCAATGGGAATCCTGGCAGACGGAAGGAGTAAAAAATGTGTCTAAGCCTGAGTGCTGGGATAAGCCACACGTTTCTGTTGGAGGCTAATACCTGGTTCTCTCCGTTATTCTTGCGAGGCTTAACCTACCCGCAGAAAATGTACACAGGTAATTCAGTTGCTGGAGTCCCCCCATTGCAAGTTTCAGCAATGGAATGAGGCTTAGATGAATGTAGGGCATTGCTGCTAGAGTTGTACCTCCTGTTGTGGCCAAGGCAGCATGTCCACAGGAACAGGCTGCAGCAGGGAGAGGCACTTACTGTTTCCAAGAGTGTGATTGAACTGGGCAAGACCAATAATTGGGTGGAATACAGACCCTGAGAGCTCCCTTGCCCCTGTCACATGTCCATGCTCACCCAGCAGGTTGGCAGAGACAGTTGGAAGAGGTCAGGCTCCATCTCTCCCTGCTTTCCAACCCACCAGCATCCTTCAATTAATGGCACAGGCAGGGTTTTAGTGCTGGGACTTGCTCTGTGAAACTAGATAAACTGGTTAAGCTGGTGTGTGTCCTGGGTCTTGTCAAGGCTGGAGATGAGATCTATTTTCCTGGCTTGGACCTCAGGAAAAATCTTGAGAAAAGCTCCTATCATGCACTGGTTCATATTGCAATCAAATCACTGTTTGGTTTCAGAAGCAACAACTTGTTTTGGTTTCGCTTGGCAAAGCTGATAGTTTCAGTTGTGGACAGTTCTTATATCTTACTAACAACTCTATTCAATTTTCAACATAAAATACACAACTAGTATACCACAAAACAATCTTCTGCAAGCACTCTCAGTCTGTTTAACACATTTGGTAACCGAGAGTTATTTTTTACTAACCCCCAGGCTTTTAGCAGTTCACAGTCAGTAAAGTGTCTTCTTGTGCTTGGATTTTATTTAACCAATTCAGATTATTTATTTTTGAAGACATGACCAAAGTCCTGTGCTGTTCCCTGCAGTAACTCTCTCAAATGATTATGAAACTTATTTCTAACAGCAGTCAACAGCCTTCAAAAATGATCTGCCACCACTTTGCAAGTTCTCTTTTCATTTACCTCTCTAATGCCTCTGTAGCTCCCTTAGCCCCAGCTCCATTGGCAGCTCTACCTGCAAAGGCCAGGATGGGCATTTCATGGTGAGCAACTTGATAGCTGCTGCAGTTACTGCAAAGGCATATAGCTCCATCTTCCCTTTGTCAGCACAGACAGCTGCCTGCTCATTGAAAACCTGCACCAGGCCATGCCTAATGCTTCCCTTACAACCACATTTAGGCTTTGTGGCAGATGGAATTTGGGGGTTATGTAATTTTGCTTCTGGTTGTGTTATAGCCTTGGAGGAAGGCAGGGTCAGACAGACCCTTTTGAGTGGGAAGGATTTCCAGAGCAACCATGGGAAGAGTTAGTTGCAGACCATGCTGCCTGGCCCATAGGGATTTGAGCTGCTTCTGATTTTTTTTTAAAAAATAAATATCTATTGTTTAAAAACCTTTTTGGTCTTCATAGCAAAATTAGTCTAAGCAGTCCCTTCTGAAAGCTCCAGTGGCAGAGCTCAGTGGAGATGTGGGTGAAGAAAGAGCTTGCAGTCTGAACAGATGTGTTGGGAAGGGGAGCAGAGACAGGAGGGTATTGCCTTGTCCATTTTTATGGGTACAGCTCCTGATGGCCTGGCAGCACAGCTCTGCATCCTCTACTGCAGCAAAAGGGGATCTGAGTTCCCAACTGACAGACTTCAGTAAGATCCCAGCTGAGCAGAAAGGGAGAGAGAGGGATGTGGAAAGGGAACAGAGACTAACTACAGAAAGCATGTGAGGCATCTTGTCCTTGATGGATAGTTTGGGCCTGGTCCCTGCTATCGAAGATGACTGTTACCTGCTACACAGTTCCCAACATAATCTTACCCAGCTCCATCCTGACCCCACCACTGCTCAATTCATACCTCTCCCAAGGCCTTTTTGGGGTAAGCCTTTCACTGCTGCTGGTGCTTCTCATCTGCTAGATGCAGCAGGGCAGCAGAGGGACCTTGCTCACCCCTCCCCTTCCTTTCTCCCCAAAAAAGCTGCCTGTGTGGTGCCAGCCTCCCATCTGCCTCCC